TACATTTACAATTAAATCTGAGGAACTATGCCTCTTTAAAAGGCTTTTAAAGTAAAAAAAAATAACATCCTGATGCTTCACATCTTGACCATCAGTTTAATATGAAAAATTTCGCATGTCATCTGAAAAATCAGAGAAATGCACAAGTCGAATCTTAACTGCACTGTTAGGTGAACTGAACGATAAAAATATCTTGCAGTACAGGAGGTTCATCCTGGTCATAAGGACATGAGAAATTAAAGGCCAACAAGACGGTAAGACGGAGCGGAGCCTCTCCGATGATGCCGTTAGCAGCGTTCGATAAACGTGGGCGTACTTGTTAATGGCAGGTCACCACTCCATCAGAAGTTGTCTGGGGTAGAGCTCTTCAGGCCAAACAGCATAGTGAGGAAACGGTGGTTCATTGGCCAATGTACTATTTTACGGTAATATTCAAACTAATCAGTTTACACGTAATTCATCATAATCATATAGTTTGGCCTATATGAGATCTAATATTCTTTCTACCACTTAGAAAGTAGCAGCTCTCGACGCCACTCCTCCTTGTATGCATTTTTAACAGCCATTTCTGCAACTGTCGCCTTACACTTTGGTTGCATGGTTGTCGACCTTCTCTAATTTTTCCGTACAGCCAATCTTCATCAAGCCAATCTCTCATCTGGCATTCACCTCTTCAGCCGCTCCTCTCCGGAACCCGATCGCCTACAGACAGCAACATTCCTGCCATCTTAGACGTTGATTAGCATTTCTCGGCGTGCCCCACAAACACGTTTCGAAGCGCGCCACGTACTCTCCTCGCCGGACAATGGCCGAACATTGCCAGCGTTCGCTTTTTTAGTCACCCTTTCATGAGTATTCCACAAAAACCACAGCCGTCCAGATTACACCGTTTTTGCACCGTGCCAACGCCGCGACACATAGAGGACGGTTTTTCCCCGCCGCTCGAGATTGTATCCCACTAAGACACGCTAGGGCCGCCGGTCTTATTCTGTTCTTTAAGGAGGTACCAGTAAACCGTCAAAACTGGGCTCTGATTGGTCGTCTTTCAGGTAATATCTTCCAGCAGCTGTACTACCTCAACCTCGTACGAACACGTGATCAAGTCGGACATCGCAAACGCTCAGTTCCGGGGCGAGGATAACAGTAGAATCGTCCGATGGTACAGACTGTACAGCCGCTGCAGTGGCAAGTACCTGCAGATGTATAAATCGTACATAAATGCGCGCGGAAAGGCGAAGAGTCCACTGAGTACGTTGTCCTCCCCTGCCACTGTGAAACGGTTCATCGTTCGCCTGTTTCAGCTCTGCTTCGAGTAGAGACCGACTCATACGGAAGTCGCATTCGCATCCAGAGCATGTTTTTCGGAAAGTACTTCTGCTTCAACAAGAAAATGCGTCTGGCCAGTCGGGTGAGTGCCGTTACTTATCATTATGTCTATCTTGATCACCATATGATTTTGAATTCATATATTATTTTGCATAATTTTAAACGATTTTAATCGTATGCAAAAAAGATCATATAACAAAAGTAAAAGAACCAAAGTCTCTGCTGTCAGCTGATCGTTCCTCTGTCCTTCTAATCTCACATGTCATTGGCAACAATATCTGTGTCTTCCACAGCTTTGGATGGAGACGTACCTTTCCTTAGCATAGACAAGTTTCAAAATGTGATGCTTTTTATCACGATTACTTATTACTCATTAATACAAAATCTAAACGGATACGGTGATTTCGTTATTGTCGTTGGTAAGGTTCGACGACACATCCCTCTGGCTTCCGTAATTGCATTCTTTATGTGAACTGGAATCTCAATTATTCCGCATTGGCACGCTCAGTGAATATTGATCAAAAAATAGAGAAGTAATGGATCAGATTTGAAAGCCAGGTGATCGACTTCCATTTCAGGACCTTTATGACTTGATCCGATGAAACAAAATTATTGTGAACAGTCAGTAAGAGAAAGGCGTATGAAACCGCCGTGTGGCGGTGATCTACATAAATAATTAGAAGAGTTATATTAAACAAGCAGATTTTCGTATTAACCCACGTTAAGGCATAGAAAAGTTTCGTGTGATTTGTAATTCCACAGTAGACCTGAATGTCATGCTAACAGGATAACTGATTTTCGGATGAAAAGGTGTAAACGAGATGGTCGTTCCCTCTCAGGATAGAAATATGAACAGGAGTTCTTACTGAGCTGTAGATTAAGGCTGAAGAAAGCTCTTGGGATTGTCAGTCTAGGCACCCTTCTCTCAAATGGATGTCTTTCAAGTTCATGTGGACACGTACGAAACCAGAAATTTACTACTTCATTAGTTTACACGGATACGCAAGCAACATGGTCTCCTATGTACGACTATGTATGGTCGACGGAGCCAGACTTCTGATGACCATTGATCTGAATGTTTGACCATTTGAGGACTAAGAAGATAACTATAGAGGTACGAAGATATGAACGGATTTTGGGGATTATGAAACCTTTAATCAATGCAAAAAAAGGCCTGATAGAGAGGGAAGGTGAAACAGCAGTTTCAATAAAACTGCAGCAGAATCGATGCCTGATACAAACGATGACTAGGAAGAAAGATAGCGTTTGAGAAATGATAGAAATGGCTTTTGACCGATCTGATTGGACAAAGTGGTTCCAGAGACACCGAAAGCACCTTCCATAGCAGCAAAAATGGAATGAAAGCATTATTATGTAATCGTTAAGGAGGAGAAGGTTAATGCTATGAAGGTGGTTGCTGAAAATAACGCTGATTATAAGACGCGTGA